CTGCTGCCGAACACTCCGGTATTTCACACTTAATCTCTCTCTCTCTCTCTAATAACTTCATTATTAACTGCATTAGTCTGCTATCAAAGGCTCAATCCTAAAATGATGTTTAGGAATTAGCAACGGAGGCGTGAGATGAGATGCATAAGAAATTAATCCTACTCACAAGAGCGTTTTAAGGACAAAAACCTGACAAATGTCTTGAAATACATCATCTGAACAATGTGTTGAGGTGTGGTAACTGTAGTATAAGCGGAATAATTGACTCCGGTCCATTGAATTATTAGAAAATAATGCACACCCGAGGTGATGCGGCCAAAAATAATCTTGTTTTGCAAATATATGACTGTTTTTTTTTTTTTTACATTATAAGTGAAACTCATGGAACATAATAAAAAAAGTTAAAATATATTAATAAAAACATATTAAATAATACATATATTTAATCAAAAAACATTCAAATAAAAAAGGCATATGATGACCCCCCTCTAATTTTTTTTTACAAAATGGATAGTTCCAGTTCAATGCAGCATTGCAGTCATGCTAAAATACACATAGCCAGGACCATATTCACAATAAAGCTAAACTTATTATAATATTTTATTGCATAAATAAGGCTGTTTCAATTTCTTCCACTAAATTAAATTGGATCATGATTCAGTTGCAACAATTCCATGCAAAAGGTTTGCAACTGTAAATATATTATGTGGATTAATGTAATCTTGATCTAACTGTAGTGCTGATAGCGTATAACTGTAAATAATGTTTTGGATGAATGTGGCTTTCTCACTGTAACCGCATGCGTCAAATACATTCTTAACAGTAGCGTTTTCGTGCACTTAATGCATAGCTGAGTCAGTGTGGAAGTGTATGTTACACAAGCTGCTCCTGTTATACTTTCCGAGCATTATATAATCACAACAGAGACTGAAAGAGAGAGAGAATATGTGTGTGAGAGGGGGGAAGAGTAGCTCTCTGGGGAGTATGGTAGGCTTCATTATTCAGCTCATTCTGCCTTCTTCAGGACCTGGGCGGTTTGCATCTGGCCCCATTTTACAAGAGTCCAGCATCTATGCCAATGCACTCCAGAATGATCAGCCAACTATGAGCCGGTAATGCTAATGTATGAACTTCTTTAAATCTCTATTCATGGCATTCTTAGTTTAGCACTGGGTTAGAGATTTTTGTTAGAGATTGATCTAAAGCACAAATATGACGAAAAGAATAGTTCTCTCAGAAATAAAAATTCTAAAATAATGTACTAACCCTCATGTTGTTCCAAACCTGTACGCATTTCTTTATTTCTGCATTATTTTTTTATTTGTTTATGTATGTAAGTTTGTATGTATTTATTTGTTTGTCCATTCAAAGAATTGATGTCATTGTGTTGCAATGTAATGTTGTTACACTAAAGCTATTCATAGTCATTTTCGGTCATTGAATTAAAGCTTAAATAAAATATAAATATTAAATGAAAATCTTAAACGTATAAAAATTACATGAAAATTTGAAATGTTTCCTTGGCAATTAACTGAAATAAATAAGTTGAAGTTGAAGTTGAAGTATTAAAATGGCTAAAAATGAAATAAAATTAAAGTTATACTATCCTATAAGGCAAACATCACTAATGCTTATACTTAACTCATAACCCTAATTATTAAACTTCAGCATACAGTAAAAACCATTTATGCCACATGAATGATAGATCATCATTGATTTTGACTGCTTACATTGTCCTCATTTGTAAGTCGCTTTGGATAAAAGCGTCTGCTAAATGACTAAATGTAAATATAATGTAAATGTAAAAATCACCATAATGCTATGATGTTTTTAGAACCTTGGAGTACCATGCAAATATCATGGTACATTAATTTGAGTACCATGATCTGATACCATTACTGTACTATGTTACTGCCACAGTACTGTTTTGCCCAGAAAACTACCCACAACACACTAGCACCTTGGCAGTGATTTTTGCACAGGCAAGAACCACTCACATTTTTTCAGCAAATGTAAAAATCGGAGTTCATTTGTAATGTTGTGCCTCAGCGCTGTCCGGTAAGTAATCACATCAGCAGATATATTACACCCCCGTCAGCACAGATGCATGTGATTATTTTATTCCAAGATTAATTGCATTAACTGAATTTATCTTTAAGTGCCCGCAGATACACATCACTCTCAGCTGAGCGGATGGCAAAGTTGATTTGTCTTGCTTCCGCAGCCTGTACCAGCTCCATATGCGTGTGTTGTGCTCTAATTCGTTCATGCGCTGGGTTTCCGTTCCTCAAATTAGACACCTTGATTGCGATTGTTCAGCATCTGCCATGAAACCTCACAAGATTACAAACAGCTTTATAATTAGGCCTTGTTAATTTTCACCAAATGCCATTTTTACTTTTTACAAAACATGAAAAATGAAACAAAAGGCTTTTGTAGGATACATATTTTCATTAATTGGAAAGATATTGTCGTCCATTCTATGGGTCCATTTGGCCCAGGTCTCCCTGAGCATCTAGAAAGTACAGACTGTAACTCTCATCTTGGCTGATATAGTAGTGTGGGGCAGCCATTGTTAGAGAGGCAAACAATTTATGGGCATTCAGCAACAATTCATGGCCCACCCGTCACAGATCGATGAATGTTCCCCCTCCTACGCACCGTGCTGTGCCCAGTCCGGAGATGCTGAAACACCACAATCTGATTATCCAAGATAATTTAGGTTCAGCACAAACACAAAATCTTACATGTCAGATATGTTTTCCAAGTCAAGGGTTCGCGATATACCATCTAATATCATCACACACTCTTGAAAATAAAGGTTCCAAAAAGAGGGTTTTGCAACAGTGTCACAGAAGAACCATTTTGGGTTTCCCAAAGAACCTTTCAGTAAAATATTTTGTGCAATGGGACCTTTTATGATGTTAGACGTTAAAGGTTCTTCATGGAACCATCAATGCCAATAAAGCTTCTTTATTTTTTTGTGCATGGTAGCAGTAACAAAAACAATAGCTACTCTACAGCAACATTGTGTCTGAATACTGAACAACTGACATCTTAGCATATATGTTGTTATTTAAACATGTATGCAGGATCTCACTAGCAAAAAAGTACCATAATTTAACCATGATTCTTGGACATGCACTATGGTAATATCATTGTTTTTTTATGTGCATTATGGAGTATCATGAAAATATCAAGGTACATGAATTTGGAAGTAACAAGAGTCACACTGTTCCAATTGCTTTTAGAAAATATACATAAATAGTCAAATAAATAATATCTGCCTAATATCTTGAAAGCATTTATTTGCACACACACACACACACACAAAAACTAATGTTGCTAGGTTTAAGAAAGTGGTTTCAGCATCTTACCCTAGATTACTTGCCAAACAAAGTGCACTATTCAGAGTTCTGCTGATTTAATGATACTGCCAAATGTGTCAGACTCTGTGTCCTGGAAACACTTTGTACTTTGAAGATGTCCTCTCCTACACATATTGCCTGGTGACAAATGACTAGGTGACAATGTAAACAACCACTCAGGTTTAGACTAATGACACCTGTCTTAGACTACTGAGACTTTTTTCTAATGATGAAACATTTCCCATGAGTCTCGTAGAAATATTTAAACAGACTGCAAATGTCTGACACGTATATAGGAATTCATGATGACAACCAATAACTGCCCTGCCTGAGAAAGAAGAGAATTTGTGTTAAATACACCTATCCTAAATATCCAGATCCCTAACCAAATACAGAGAAGAGCGAAAGTCCACATAGTATAACAATTAAATATAATAATATTTCTGTGTAATGCATTGTGCAAGATAGACGCACAACGTAGGAGCAGTCAACAAAATAACAGTCTTTAATAAAAAGTCCAAATGAAACATACACAACTGCAAACAATACCGGACAACGAACCCAGGAAAACAGAGTGCTTAAATAACAAGGGGTAATGAGGGAGAACAGAAACAGGTGACGAAATCAATTAACTAGACAAACTGAAAACTAGGTCAAAAGAAAGAAACAATGGAACACAGAACAGACACGACACATGGCATTCTGCAGAATTAAATTCAATTTAAAGAGGAGTCAGGATTTTGTATTACAGTTTTTAATATGGCACTTTTCATGAAAACGGTTCAAATTCATGTCCCTTTGTCGCAAATTAGAAATTAGAACTTAATTTTAATCAAACTTTTAGTGTTGACTACATTGGTCCAGATCAAACCTGTTACCAAAAACTATTTTATAAAAGATATGCAAACTAATATTTCTTAACAAGTGTATCAAATTTGTAAAAAAAAATCTAAACTAGCTGACCGTGACAACAAAATTTTGGCTAAATCATTCCATTTTTAATCCACAAATATGGACCAAATTAGTAGCTCACTAGTATAGCAACAAAGGCACAAATCTCTCTGAAAGGAGGGAGAACTAGATAATGTTATACTTGTCAATTTTTACATTATATTAGTATTATTATTATTATTTTTGCTATTATTGTTGTTGACTGTATTTGCCAAGCTCAATCCAAGGGAAAGTGTCAATACTTACAGTATAAACTAACATTATAGGTGTATCATCAATAACTATAAAATAGCTGGCCACTGTGACAGCTAAATTTAGGCCAAATCATCTCAGTTGATTATATAATTTCCCAGAATATGGTACACATTTTAGTGTTGACTGTGTTTGTCAAGCTCAACTATTCAACCTTGTTACCAAATTTAAACATGAATAAACATTTTTTTCCTTCTAATAACTCATATTTATAAGAAACATTACTCAGTTAATAATAAACCAACCTCTGGTCTCATAGTCGGCCACTACAGAGTGAAAGCTTAAATTAGGCGAAATCTGCAACCCTGTTCGCCTACATATTCTGCTATATTTTGTTAGAGGCGCAAGCAGTGAAAGCTGCTTATTTACAGAGCACCAGCACATCCACCCCCAAAACTCATCAGCACATACTGCTGCACTTCCACTTACCGTCCCAGTTCAGACTCCAGCTCATAGAAGTCCGCCAGCGTCTCTTTCTTGGATCCATCGATCCAGTATTCAGGAGCGGCTCTAGAGGCGGGCATTGTCACTCTCAGCATCTCCAGCGCCTCAGCTCACTAACAGCGGAGCGCCGATCTACACACAAACAACAACATCACGAAATGCCATGGAAGAAAACGGACACACAGTCCGGAGAGGCAAATGATACACATCTTTGTCAAAAGAGTCTCATGTCACCTGTAATGTATGTCGGTGAGGTGCGCAGGGTGCCCGTGAATGTGTAGCAGCAGTTGAACGCGGTTGTTATGAACGGGGAGCGCGAGCGCGGCTTCCACTGGGTCTTACTGTCGCCTATGTAGGGCGCTGGTTTTCTGTGTGTGATTTACCTGGATTCAGTGGACGTCAGATGCATTGCTAGATATCATCATGGCAAATGATAGTTATATTTCAAGATATAGCTAGATTTAATCAAGTTCCTTCATTAATGCAGGACACATTTCTGTCTACAAAAATAACCCATCATCACTGACAGGGCTGGATTGGTAATCGGGCACACCGGGCATTTTCCCGGTGGGCCGACGCACTTAAGGGGCCGACAGAATGTTTTTTTGTTTTTTTGCCGAAAACCATCATGCGGGGACAGCGAGCAGCCAACTTCTTCCTCGTCGGCTTTTCCCACGTTTTCACAGGAGATTTATCAAGAACAGGCTTGCTCTGCGGTGAGTGATGCGGGCCAAAGAGCAAGGCAGGAGGAGAAGAAGAGAGTA